AACAGTTTATTAAAACCTATGTGGAATTGTAAAATAATAAAAGCAAAACAAGGCACAAATAAAGGTAAATTTGTAGGGCTGGAGGAGTAGCTCATTGGCAGAGTGCACTGGGTTCAATCTTCAGCACAGCAAAGAAATTTTTTTGATGTTACAAAAATCTGTAACTAGTTGTGAAGAGGTTTCTGTGGTCCTAAAGCTGGCTTGCCTCCTTAAGATGTCAAAGTTACTCCACAATTCTGCTCTTACGGTTGGTTTCTTTTTTTAAGTATTGAGTAACTTTAGTTTTATGTTTGTTCTGTGTGCCTGTCAGCTCTGATACCCACATCTTTCTGGTGGCCCTAAGTGAAGAAATGTCAAATTGAGCAAAAGATATGATATATCAGTGAAATTAGTGATCTTCTCATTTTACCACAAAAGGTAAAAGCTTTTTCCACAGATTTGTAATCTGTCTTTGCTCAACCACTCAAACGGAGGAATTGATTTTCCTGATGCTGCTGAAAAGTGGAAATTCACTGATATGAAATTGTGGGGCTCTGGGGAATTGGTCCTTAATGTGTAAGAACCTGTCTAACTCAGAACATAAAAGTTCATTTTTCAATGAGATTTTCTTGTTACTTTCTTGAATTTGAAAAACTGATCACTTTAAAACTAAGAATAAGAAAGTAGCCAGAAAATGAATCATTCAAAAATAACACTTTATTAAGATTTTATTTTCTCTTTTCTCTCCCATGTAATCTATATTTTCATTAGTTGGGATCATAAGGCAGATAGAGTTTAGCACTTTGATCTTACCCCTGTCACTTGTAAGGTACTTTTGCACTTAGTCCTTTATTTTGTGCAGTAGGGAACAGCCCTCTGTCAGCAATTGAAGTTCTACTGGGACTTTTTAAAAGATTTCTTTCTTTATTAGCAATATTAACTGTACAAAGGGGTTTCTTTATGAAATTTCCATATATACATATAATGTACTTTGATCAAATTCACCCCTTCTATGTGCTGGGATTTTCATCATGAGGTTTTGCCTTTATTTCTCCAAGAACATGTATTTTAGGATGATCAGTCAGAAGTCCTCATATCCTCTATTTATTCATGTGACAGAAGCAAGCAAGGCCAATTGGAAATTATTTTCCATGTTTGATGAAGGTGGGAGAGGCTCACACTTCTCACTTACCCTACATATAAGGCTACAAGGTCACAATGACTGACTCTGCATTGCATGGAGAGACCCTGCACCAGAACAAAGTTCGTGGACAGAGAACAGTGGAGTGGGAGAGTGTGAGAACAAGTCCAGTGAAGAACTTAATTCTTCTTCCTGCTGTCCCTCTTGGACACCCATCTTCTGTGAGTCAGTATAGTCCTTCTTGTGTTTAAAGTGATGTGTTTAGGATTTCTGTCCCTGTCAATCAGACCTGTTACTCCTATGGTAGTAGATCACAAAATGCTTTGTATTCCTCTGAAATTTCCTTGATCAATACATTTATAAATCCTGGAATGTAGTCTATTCAAAGGGAATATAATTCTATGAATATAGGATAGTTTCACAAATACTAGCTCTTATGGTCATGTTTGTCATTTCTATGAACATACAACATTCAGCTTAGCATTTTCCAAAATTTTTGGTAATTATATTTTTAAATTTAAATTTTTTATTCTTTTCAGTAAAAATTTCTGTCTATTTCATCATACTTTCACAAATATTGACTTTGTAAGAATTATAATTGTTACCAATTTGAAAGATACCAATTTGATTGTTACCAATTTGAAAGGAAAAGTTAAGCTTTTCCTTTCTTGACTGAGGTTACATAATTATTTTATTATTATTATTATTTATTTTATTATTACTGGGGTTTGAACTCAGGGTCTCATGCTTGTTAGGCAGGTGCTAAGCTTGAGCCACAGCGCCAACCCTTACTATATGATTATTGTATGTTGATGCAGCAATACAAGATTTGTTTTTTAAAATTCGGCCTTTTTCTTTCTGAAAATTGACTTTCTCCTTTTTAAAATACCTTATTTGATTTGACCATAAAGTGATACGTGTCTGATGAAAAAGATCAGAAGATACAGAAGACAAAGGCCTTCCTTCCCAAGTACCACTTAAACACCCATTCAAAACACACCCATCTACCTACAGAGCCCACGACTCCTCCCAGCTTTTTCCTTTGCTATAAACACTTTTGTATGTGTTAGATACAGACCTGGCTGGGCTTGGGGCCTGCATTTTAGGAAGAGAGGCTGTGAGAAGAGCACACAAGGGGTTTTAAGCCTGTGCCCAAACCTAAGCAGCCATGACCTCCAAGCCAGATTAAAAGAAAAGAGGAAAAGCAGGGGCTTGACCAGACATCTGTGCAAGCGTGTTCATAGCAGCAATATACACAACAGCCAGAAGGTGGAAGCAATTCTATCTTTCTCCCCAAATTCAGTCTTTTTACAGAAACATTTACTCAAGTCCTAACACTTTTTTCATTATTTTAAGGTGTTTTTTTGTTTGTTTGAGAAAGGGTCTATGTAGTCAAGGCTCACTTTGAACTCATGGTCCTCCTGCGACAGCCTTCTGAGTGATGGGATTAGAGGTGTGTACCATCATTCCAGGCCAAAATAATAATAATAATAATAATCCCTCCAGTGTCTTACCATACATAAAAATAAACTCCAGGTGGTCAATGGTAGCTCACACTTGTAATCCTAGCTACTCTGGAGGCAAAGATCAGGAGGATCTCAGTTGGAATCCAGCCAGGGCAAATGGTTTGAGAGACCCTGTCTTGAAAAACCCCAACACAAAAAAGGGCTGGAGGCAAGGCTCAAGTGGTAGAGCACCTGCATAGCACACAGGAAGCCCTGAGTTCAAATCCCAGCACCACCAAAAAGAAAAATGTCAAGATGGATAAAAAAATGCTTTCTAAAAAAAAATCTCTAAAGTAGTATGAGTATAATGTAAATCCATATACCTTGAGATGAGAAAGAATCTTGAGAAGCATGAAATCAAAGATTGAATTCATAAAGGATTAAGAAACTTAAGGGAATAGAAAATGAATAGGTGTCACAGACAGACCCAGTGTGTCCTCAGTAGGTGCAAGGGCTGGGCCACGGGAGCCTTTACCCTGCTGGTTCTGTGTATGCCGACTTTGTTCTCTCCAGCTCACAGCAGTGCAGAAGCTCCATGTTCTCATTGTGGGAATGTGTGCAGAGCTCTCTGGCTGTCACAATGGGTCACTCTCCAGAGGAGACTCCCTTGGGGACACTGTGAGAGTGTGAAAGCCGTATGGAGGAATGAGTTATGAATGTTGTCACACCAAGAGTGCCACTCTACATTTTCCATTTTAGAGTGGTTCTTGTCATCTGTGTTGTCTCTGCAGTCCTGTGCCTGACTTTCCAATGTGTGCCACAAACATTCACCTTTCTTTATCTCTACAATTTTTGGCCTTTCCTGTTCACAAGATTAGAATCCAAACTTAAAATCTGCCACATGTCTCTACCTCCATCTCTATCACATGTAGGCCAGGATTTCTAGTTTACAACTTGAGAGAATCTTGCAGGTTGGAGGAGATGCTAACAACAATACAAATTAAACAATGTTCTTATTCTCTGGTTGTCTGGATGTATAAAATAATGTATATAAAGTCCTTAGTATAGTACCTGACATAGAAATGCTCATTACATTATCTATGTCACCATTATTTTTATTTTAAGGTGACCCCAACAATAATTTGTGTGATGTCAAAGTTTGTTCTTTCTACTTCCAGGACAATCCCCTCACCAAAGGTCAGTGTCTTCAGTAGCAGGATCTCCAAAACGCAAGGACTGAACAAGGTAAAGACAGGCCTGAAGCCTGCCCCCTGGTAGACCTAAGGTGCTTGTGTTTCCCTGAGAGGAAGGCCTCCTTAGAGAATCTATGAGAAACAGTCCAACTTGGAATGAGAATAGAAAAATAATTAACAGGTCCAGAAATTCTCTATGAAAGACAACACTTTGTACTAAAGAATAGACTCCTCTGGCATTGATTTTAGCCAGTGGGAAGAATTCGGGGCATACATTAGTACGGCTCAGGCTCCCATAATGAAAATCTTTTAAAAATCATTGACTGTAATTACCAGACAACATAATAATAAGCATCACTAATAGAGACCTAATTAATATTTTCTTTTTAAGTTGTTTTGTAATGGATGCCATCTGTGAGAATTACATTTCTAGACAAAGACACTTGCTCCAAACTTTTAAAGTACTGCATTGGGGAAAATATTGTGGGTGAATAGGCATAGGAGACACAGAGAAAGAGAAGTAATACAGTGACTGTGAAATCTCTAGCAGTGAGGTCACACAGGATGGAGAGAGTTTAGGGGAGCAAAAATCCATGAAGTCTACCTAAGAGAAAAATGAATGAAAAAAGCAGAAGATTAGCCACGCACCATAGTGGAAGATCTGTGTGGAACAGTGACACGGGGCAGGGGTGGCTGCAACAAGGGCAAAGCAGTTCCAGGGATTAAATCTGGGGCAGAAGCAGTTTAGGAAGAGCTCAGCATCATGCTTCCCTTAGCCTGTCTGCACCCAGCTCGACCCCAAGGTCAAGCATCTATGGCCAGATGTGAGCAAGATGAGTGTGAAAGTCACATGTTTCTTCACCAGAGCAGGATGTCAGAAAGGGGAGAGTGGGTCACTTATGATTCATTCCTATGCATTGACTGACCTCACTGTAGTCTTGATCTCTTTTCTCCTTCTTTCCTACTTTCCCCCCCTCATTTCCTCCTGCTCTCCTCTGGCTCTCTCCCTCTCTTTCCCCTTCCCCTTCCTTATCCACTGTCTTCAGGACTAACACAGACCTGGTAAAGTTATTTTGTAGTCAATAATTCAGAGGTATTTAAATAAGTTCTGAACTGTCATTTATAATGATTTTCAATGATCCAAAGTCTTAGAGTGTAGAGCAAGAATGGGCGGCAGAAATAGGCCCTGCATGAGCACATTATCACATCCTTCTTTATTGCTTTTGACTCCACAGCGAAAGGATGAGGACTCTGGTCACCAAGTACCTGCTTCCTCTGTTGTTGCTGCTGCTGCTGCCAGTGCAGCCTCAAACCCATTGGAAGGAGAGATTCCCAGGAGCAACTGAAGACTTTTTAGATTATTTGGAAGATATTTATAGTTCAGGGCCTACCAGACCACCTACCAAAGCCAAATTCATAGAAAAGGTCATTGCTAATAAGCAGAGAAAAATAACCGATGGGGATTATTGTAATGATGAAATTAAGTACAAAAATGTTCACTATAAGCTTGGTTGTGTGCAAAGCCACTACTTCATCAATACAACATATGAAGTTTTGCAGAACGTCTGCACCACTCACCCTGAGGTGCCATGCAAGAATGGAATTAGAAGGTGTAGGGCAAGCAGCTTCTTAATAAAGGCAGTATATTGTATGTTAACATCAGGAACAAGGATGCCAGAATGCTACTATGACAGTTTTGAAAGGAACGGTTATGTCCTTATGACTTGTCGATGGCACAATGAAACCCGAGAATTTCTTCCTGACCATGTACAAGATGTAATACAACCCTAATAGCAGAAAAACATCACTGTCCAGGAATCTATCTTCACCCTACTGTCCTAGTAGTTTTCTCTAAGAAATTAAACGAGGATATCACCTTCAGTCAAAATCAAAATTGAAGTTTTGATTCCATTCCACCTCCTCCCTCCCTTCTTGCCCCAACACCACTCAAAGGCAACATGGGCTAGGTTCACAGATAGTGCTGGGTCAGGTGGTTCCACACAGGTCACAGAATTCAGTGTGTTTGAACATGATGTGACTACAGTGAAAGGACAACCAGCACCAGCAGGAACAGGGAAGAGCTACCTGAAGTGTGCTCCAGAGTCGTATTCCTGTGATTCTCTCTAGTTTAGCAGGAAGAATAAAGTGCTTCAGTCTATTGCATTGGCTGTGGTGTGCTTATGGGGTTGGGGGGAGGAGGGCAGTCTAGGTTTGGAACTTGTGACCAAGTATCACACAAGGAGAACCCAAACTCCTTTGAAGCATTTGCATAATGTATCTTTCCAGTGCCACAGCTGTAGCTGCCCCAGAGTCCTGTTCTTTCCCTGCAGCATGACAACATTAGACCATGAAGGAGTAGACCCAGGTAGGGGACATCTCAGAATAAAGGACTTTAAATAGTTAAGAAAGCAAATTCCCCAAAGTACTTCTCAATTGCCCAGTGCTATATGTGTGAATTTCTACATTTCTGCTTCTGCTTAAGACATCAGTCTTCACAAAACTACAGACAATTTTTTTTTGGTGGTACTGGGGTCTGCACTCATGGCCTACACCTCAATCCACTCCACCAGCCCTTTTTTGTGATTTTTTTTTTTGAGATAACATCTTGTGAAGTGTTTGCATGGGCTGACTTTACATGGTGATCCTCCTGATCTCTGCCTCCTAAATAGCTAGGATTACAGGCGTGAGCTGTGCTGCCCGACTCAGACAATTCTTAACACACTGGCATAGTCACAGTCGTCCAATTCCTTTTGTTTTCTTCAGTCCTGGGGGTTGAACTCAGGGATTTGCACATCCTAGGCAGTAGCTCTACCACTTGAGCCATACTTCCCTGACCCTTATCTTCCAAGGGATGTTGCTACATTTGAGCACAAACTACCTCAGAAAAAAGTTGGAGAGTCAGTCTGACAAAAGAAATCTACCTGTCCAGTTTAAGTAACAATTTTCTTCTTTAAAAACACTCCTTGAAATTTTCATTCTTATTCCTGAAACCTTTCTGAAAATGGGAAAAGTTTACGCAGGAGTCCCTTAAAACAATGTAACAGTAATTTTTTTTGAGATAGTGTCTCACCGTGCAGCCCAGTCTGGGTAACATTAATTTATATGAGCTAAAAGATAAAAGTTAGGGAAAATAGACAAATTGCTCTGTTCCCTAGACAACTTAAACCTAATCAGTGTTTTTCATGGAAATTCCTGCCATGCATAATGTCCCTGAGTGAGTGAAAGGGAAAGAATTTAACCCGATACGGAGGACACAGTGCGTCTATTCTTTATTCTGCCACGTATTCTCTAACGAGGTGAGGACTAGAATGGGATCAGAGCTAATAACTAACCCCGCTCTGCTCCTCCTTGATGAAAATTGGTAAGTCAAACCTAGCACTACTTATTTGTGTCCCCACTAAGTACAATTGGCTGGCAAAACATGAGGCTGTACTCACCCTGCGCCTAGTCACTAAAGGTGACTAGTCAGTCTGGTGCCAGTACAATTGCCATTGATACTGCCCTGGTAATGGATGAATTTTTCCAGTGGTTCCTTCAGCCCTGCACTCAAGACACAGTCCCTGGACGGTGTCATTGTTCAATCATGGAAAACGATTTTGTATCTCAGTCAGAGCCTTGGAATTAAGAATCTGATCCCCTTAGTCACTGCTGGTGGGAAAACAAATTAGCCCAGCCTTGATGGAACCAGTATGAGGGCCATTATAAAAAATTAAAAATAGAATTTCCATATGATGTAGTCATACCACTTCTGTTTATAAACCCAAAATAATCCAAGTCAGAACACAAGAGCGATATCTGCACACCCATGTTTGCTATGGCACTGCTCACAGCAGCAGCCAGCCTCAGCACCCACCAATGGAAGAATGGACTAAGAAAATGCGATAGAGATACATATTATACAATGGAACTTTATTCAGCCATAAAAAAATGAGACTGTGTTGTTTGCAGGAAAGTAATTAGAACCAGAGATTGTCTTCACATAAAATAGGTAAAATAAGGCAGTCCCACAAAGATAAACATTGCATATTTTCTTTCATATATGAAATATGAGGGAAAAAGAAAGACATGAAAGTAAAAAGGTGATCATGAAAGATGTAGATGGGGAAATACGAAGGGAAATAAGACAGTAACAAAGCAAGTGCACATGAGCAAAGAACATTCTGTGCATCCATGGGTAAGTCATAATGAATCCCCTCACTTTGCACAATTCATATATACTAATAAATAAAATTAAATTGAATAAAAAAGAGTCTGTTCTTGGGGCTTCCTGAAACCCATACCACTAACACCCCATAAACAAAGGGGCATGTAATTTCCCAAAAGGAAATTGAGATCATCCAGAGGAGGTGCCAAAGAGCTCAAAAATTTATAGATATCCCTGTTAGGCTATAAGTGAAAGTTTTGGGAAATTTTCTGTTTTGAAGACTTAACTACACACCAGTGATATGAAACAGCTGGGGATAGCCCAGAAATAACATTCTAGAAAGTGATGCAAAGATTTTATCAAATGAGGCTGGGTGTGGTGGTACACGACTGTAATCCCAGCTATTCAGGAGGTGGAGGTAGGAGGATCACTATTCCAGGCCAGCCCCAAGCAAAAGTGTGAGACCAAAGAAAAAAGGCATGAGGACCTGAAGTTCAAACCTCAATACTGCCAAAAAGAAAAGAAAAAAAAAAAAAAAGAGGAGGCATGGCTCAAGTGGTAGAGTGCCTGCCTGCCGAGGAAGCACACACACACACACACACACACACACACAGGTTGTATCTAGTGATTAATAATTAACACTAATAATACCTATCACTAGTGTGGCAAGCACTTGTAGTGACATTCGGGAGTTAGCTTCCTGACCCTCCACAACAGCCTCACCTGATTCCTGTGATAGGATGGAGCCTGGCGTTGGTCATCGGGTAGCACATGCTTCTTGGGTTACTGATTTAAAAGTTTTGTCTCTTCTTGTGACCAGCAGGGACATAAAAGAACAGCCAGCAACCGACTCATCTTGTGGGCTCCATCACCATTACTTGCAGCGCTGGGATTTGGTTTGCCTGCCTACCGGGACCTTGTAAAGCAGGCTATGTGGTGTCCTGAAATCATGCGCAGGTTCTTTTTTCCCTCCAGCCTTATTAAGGTGTAATTGAAAAATAAACTTTCATGTATTTGCAGTGCACGACGAGTGCTTTGGTACACGCATGTGCTGTGAGATGATTACCACGACCAAACTATTCAGTATATCGAGCACCTGTCGTAGAATAGTGTGGACATTTTAACAATATTAATTCTTCCAAACCATGAACACAGGGTATCTTTCCATTTCTTTGTGTCATCTTTAATTTCTTTTCTTTTTTTTGGTGGGGCTGGGATTTGAACTCAGGGCTTTGTGCTTGCAAAGCAGGTGCTCTACAGCTTAGGCTTGCTCCCATCCACTTTTTTCTCTGATTATGTTGAAGATGGAGTCTCGTGAACTATTTGCTTGGACTGGACTCAAACTCTTTCATTTCTGTTACCAGTGTTTTACTGGTAAAACACTCTTACTTTTTCACCATTTTTATATATTTATTTATTTGAGACTTGTTCCCACATGTGGAGGAAAGGGAGCCCTTACACACGGTTGATGATACGGTAAATTAATACAGCTATTTTGGAAAAGTTTGAAGGTTTCTCAGAAAGCTAAAAATGCAATTATCATTTGATCCAGCAATTCCATTACTGGGTATATACCCAAAGAAAATTAGTATGCCAAAAGGATGTCTACACTCTCAAGTTCATAGCAGCACTACTCATATTGGCGAAGACGTGGAAACAAGGTACCTGTCCACCGAAGGGCGAGTGGGCTGTCAAATGCGGTGTGCACACATAGGGAATACTATTTGGCTTTTAAAAAGCAGAACATCCCGTCATTTACAGCAATATGTGAACTACGGCAAGTCACGTTAAGTGAAACAAGCCGATCTCTCACTTATGAGGACTCTTAAAAAAAATAAAATTCATAGAATTAAGAGAATAGAATGGTGGTTGTCAGAGGCTAGAGGGTGGATGGACGGGGGAAGGGAAAAATGATCAAAGGGTGCAAAATTACAGCTAGATAGAAATAACAAATTCTAAAGTCCTATTGCACAGCAAAGTGACTATGGTTCATAATACTAATGTGTCTATCAAAATAGATGAAAGACTTTGAATATCCTTTTGTGAAGAGATGATAAATATTTGAAGTGATGGGTGTGCTAGCTACCTTGTTTGATTATTCCACAATGTGTACATATATTGAAATATCACTTTGTGCTCCATACAGATGTACAATTATTCTGTGAGTATTACAATAAAACAGATGTCTGCCTACTCTCCTAGCAATGTCCCTAGCAATGTGGCAGTGCTTAGCAGTCACCATGCTACCCACAATTGCCCTCTAGAGCCATCCACCTGCACTGCTGAAACATCGTGCCCTGGGACCACCTGTCCTCACTTCCTTCCTTCTGACTACTCTGCTGCCTCTTGGAAACCACCCTTCCCTCTCTATTTCCGTGAGTCTTCGTGTAAGTGAGGTCATGCAGTATGTGTCTTTCTGTACCTGGCTTATTTCACTTATCACAATGCCTTCCACGTTCATCCATCTTCTCAAACTATCCAGATCTTTCTTCTTACAATATTCCGTGGCGTATATACACCACTTTTGCCATATCTAACCATGTGCTCATGGACACCTTGGTTGACCCCATCTTGGCTGTTGTGACTAATGTCGCAAAGAACATGAGAATGCAGAGCTCTCTGAAGAAAGAGTGTTCTGAATTCGTGT